GGTTCCGACTCATAGCGACCCTGTACAGGGTTTCCGAGGCTGTAAATCTTTATGGGAGCAGAACGCCTCATCTTTCTCCTGTGGAACAGCTGGTAATTTCGAAGAGTTGGGTAAAAAATGGGTTCTGGAGTCAGATTACTTTGGTTGGAATCCTCCTGGTTCCACCATTTCCTTAGACCTGTGGAACATCGGTCAAAATTACTTGATTTTATACTGATTGGTTGAGGTCTGTAGGGCTGTCTGTAAAACTCTTAAAATAACCTAAAGTGCGTAAATTAGAATATGCAAGTTTTAGAGAAACCAAATATTGTATCAGTGGCACATTTTCATTCTTAGGGAAGTATATCAAAGCTACATTGTAATCAGAAGGCTGCTTGATGAACTGTGGGTGTGAGTTGATCTAGTCAATAGCTAATCTTTTAGCTCTGCTCTCAATATGGAGAGACCACACATACATCTATGACTGGCTGGTTGGCACAGTTTTCCTCTCTGGATTTTTCTCTCTCTTTTTTTTTTTTTAAGATACTATATTGTCTTTCTGTTGGAACATTCTCTTATAATTAATTCATTAGATTAATAGCTTTTGATACATTATTTAATCATGTTTTTCAGAAACTTCTTGTTAATTGTTGAGTCAGTTCCAACTCACAGCCACCCTGCATAGTGTTTGAATCGCCAACCTTGTGGTTAATAGTTCAGTGAAATTACTACAGTTTTATTAACTGGACTTTGCTTTTCAAACATTCCCCAGCTACCCATCCACTTTGGTAAGGGAGATTACCTGGTGTGGCACTGTAGCATTGGACTTCAAGTCAATTTGAACCGCAAGGTCAGCTGTTCAAACTTACTAGCTGCTCTTTGGAAACCCTATACAGGGTTACTGTGAGTTGGAACTGACTCGATGGCACTTAACAAGCAACATAGCTATTTTCCTCTCTTAAAAACCAAAGCCCCACTGCTGTCTAGTCGACATGAACTAAACCACACTGTAGGACAGAGTGGAATTGCCTATAGGATTGCTGAAGTTGTAAATCTTAATGGGAGTAGACTGTCACATGTTTCTCCCTCAGGATGGCTGGTGGATTTGAACCACTGACCGTCTGGGTAGCATCTAAGTACTTTAACCACAGTGTGAGGGTTCCCTTTTATTTCACATTTCACTTTAAATGCATACAATTTGGGGTTGGTAAGGTTGGAGTCTGGTGTGGCGCTGTAGAGTAAGCACTAAACTGCTAACCACAAGGTCAGTGGTTCAAACCCACCCGCCATTCAGAAGTCCTGTAGAAGATCGCTTTGAGTTGGAACCCACATGACGGCACTTAACAACAACAAAGGCTACCATTGTTTGTGTTTATACTTGTATTGTGTTCTTATTTGTAATAAATACTTTAAATATTATGTTTTCCTTGTTACTAAATGTACGTTTTTTGCTTCTCTGTTTCAGGCTATTTCCTAATTCTGAATCATGTCTGATAACGGAGAACTGGAAGATAAGCCTCCAGCACCCCCTGTGCGTATGAGCAGTACCATTTTTAGCACTGGAGGCAAAGACCCTTTGTCAACCAATCACAGTTTAAAACCTTTGCCATCTGTTCCAGAGGAAAAAAAGCCCAGACATAAAATCATCTCTATCTTCTCAGGCACAGAGAAAGGTAAATTGTTCATTTGGTTTCAGGAGTCTCATTTGGTTTCATGTTGGGTTATCCATGTTGATTATCTTTTAATTGGGCATAAATATGTTGATATCTTTTATTATAAGAACAATAAATTTGGTGAGCACAATAAACTGATCCAAGAAAACAACTGCTACATTCTTAGTAAGTCTAGTGTATTTTAAACTGTGATAGAAACTAAAACTGTCAAGTTGTTGCTTATCTTATTGATACCCAATGCATTTCTATACTCATCTTCGTTTCTGAGACTTGGACCATAATTTATGGCTTCTCCACATTAATGAGTTGTGTGATACTTGAGAATGACCTGTTTGAATTGTGATATTATCCCCTGTCTGAAATCGCTGAATTTTATTTTGAAATTAAGAACACCTTTTACTCTCTCTCTCTCTCCATATATAAATAAATATATATATACACACACACACGCACACACACATATATATATTGTCTGAGACCGTAAGTTAGAATACACTATTCATAAAATTTTTGTAGCCCTTGAGGTAGGTTTTTATGATAAATCTTATACAAACGAGCACAGAAGCATGCATGTTGTTTAAAAAATATTATGAAGTGAATATCTGTATAACTACTACCCAGGTCAGGAGTCCTGGTATGGCACTATAGGATTAGCATTGAACTACTAACCATAAGGTCGGTGGTTCAAACCTACTAGCTGTTCCTCAGAAACCCCATATGTGGTCACTATGAGTTGGAACCAACTTGATGCCAAGTCAAGCTATTTCTATCATCTGATGGGCGGCATCCTCCATTGTGTGTCCTTACTCAATCTTAGCCCCTCTTCCCCACCTCAAGATGTAACCATTGTTCTGAATTTTGTGGTAATTGTGCTCTAGCTTTTCCTTATAGTTTAACTACTAATGAATGTATTTCTAATCAATATTGTTTAATTTGGTCTCTTGTTGGAATTTACATAAATGAAATCATATTCTTTGTAATTTTTTTTATGTCTTCTCTCATACATCATTGTATCTGCAAAATTCATCTACTTGGTTGTGTGTAGCAGTAGTGAGTTCATTTTTGCTGCTATGTAGAATTCCATTGTATAAGCACATAGTAATTTATTTATTGAAAAATATATGTTTCCTCTTCTCTGAATTTCAGGCTTGGAGATTTTTGTTTGTTTGTTACCTTAAATGTTTGGTAGAACCCACCAACAAAGCCATCTGAAATAGAATTTTCTTCTAGGAGTTTTTTTCTTTTAAGTATTGATTTACTTTTTGAAATTGTTATAAGACTAAAATTTCCCATTTATTGCCATGAAATTGTTCATAGTAAATATCCTCTTAATATTTTAGTTCCTTCTACCATTGCTTTCCTTTGATTTACTTTCCTGTTATTTTTCTAAATTCTTTTTTTATTGCTTTTTGGGTTTGTTTTCTGAAAAGAAATTTAAAAAAAAAATTTTTTTTTTTTTTTGCTCTCATTTTCAGTGCATGCATTTTAAGGTTATTTTCACCTAAGTGCTGTTTTAGGTTCTTCACATGAGTTTTGATATATGATACATTCAGTATCAGTTTATATATATATATATATGAACCATTATGATTTCTTCTGTTACCTATTTTGTTTATACATGTGCTTATTAATTGTTTTAACATATGGCAATTTTCTGGATACAGTTTTGTTACTGATTTGTAGTTTAATCGCATGTATACTCAACAATACTTTGGATTTGTTGAGACTTTGCTTGCCTTTACTTTTAATTAAAATCACTTGTCTAATGCCCTAATTGAACTCAAGTTTTACATAATATATACATAAATACACTTAATTGTTGTCGTTAGGGACCCTGGAGTCGGTTCTGACTCATAGTGACCCTGAATACAACAGAACAAACCTGCTTGGTCCTGTGAGTCCTACCATTATTGTAGAGTTGTCTCTTTCTTTCTTCTGTACTGTTAGCGTTTGATTTCTGTATTTTGAGGCTCTTTCATGGAATCATGGATGTTTATTATGGGTATGTCCTCTTTCTCAGTTGACCCTTAGTCATGATATAATGTCCTCCTTTGTCTCTTATGCTGGTTTTTGCCTTAAATGCTATTTTATCAAAGATTAAAATTGCCACTCCTGCTCATTTTTTATTGCCGTTAGCTTGATATGTAGTTTTCCAATCTTTGATTTTTAGCCCCTTTCTATCTTTGTGTGTAAGATGTGTCTTTTGTAATTAGCATGGTGAAAATTCCCATTTTCTTATCCATTCTGCTACTCTGTACTTCATCTAATTATCAATAGGTGTGAATTGATTGCTGTCATTTTGCTGTGTATTTTTTTGTGATACTGCTGGTTTCTTTGTTCCACATTAATTTTCTTTGATGAGTTTATTTTGTTTGTGGGGTTTCGTATCATTTTCTTCACTTATGTTGTGTTAATGTCTACTAAATCTCTCCTATTTTCTTCTTTCTCATTTGGATGTGAAGGTTATTCATCTCCTTTGAGGTTATCCTGTAATTTACTAATTTTTTCCCTTTTTAAAACAATTTGTTTTGTCTTGAAATCTACTTGACTTCCTCACCATTTAAAAGTTCTATATCTATACTGTTCCTTCTTTTTGCTTTGCAGTTAACTTCATTATAAATTGATATCTCTAGTTCCCTATATTCACTTTTGTAGGTTTGTTTCACTTTAAATACGTCTATATCTGGATTGCCATCACTCATTTGTCGGTTTGTCATATTGTGGTACCTTGAGTGTTGCTGTGATTCTTTTTGGAAGCCCTGCCCAGTATTTTAAATACCAGTAGAGTCACCCATGATGCACAGGTTTCACCTGAGCAACCAGATAAAGACAGACTAGGAAGAAGGAAGGTGAACTACTTCTGATAGTCACTGAAAACCTTATGAGTAGCAATAGAACATTGTCAGTACAGAATATTCAATATTGAAACATGATGAAGAACAGCAGAATATTGTCAGATATAGAGCCAGAAAATGAGCCCCTCAGGTTGGATGGCACTTTCAGCCTCCTGAAAGTAGAGCTGACCGTGATGGCGCAAATGAAGTAGAACCCTTGAAACCTTCATTTTCTGATGGAGCACAACTCAAAATGAAGAGAAACAGCTGTAAACACCCACTAAAAATTGGAACATGGAATGTACAAGGTATGAACCTAGGAAAGCTGGAAATTATAAAAAATGAAATGGAAAGCTTGCCCTGTGGTCCCGTGGATCTGTCTCTTGCTTCTACAGTGTTTGGATCAAGCAGATCCAGGGAGTCCCCATCTCCAGCCTCTGACCACCTCTTGGTAGTATAGGATTCTTGGTTGGCAAATTTTTTTCTTTCAGAGCGTTGTATAGGCCATCCCTTTGCCTTCTTACCTGTATAGTTTCTACTGAGAAGTCAGAGCTTAGTCTTTTGGTTCTCCTTGGTAAGTAACTGTTAATTTTTTTTTTCTGAGCTATTCTCAGGATTCTTTCCTTGTCTTTGGTTTTGGAAGTTGTGTCTTAGTGATTTTCTTTGGGGATCTATCCTCTTATGATTCATTTATGCTTATTTTCTCATCTTTAATGATGTTAGGGTAGTTTTTGCTAAATAACTCTTTAACAAATTTCTCTGTTCTTTTTATTGGCTTCATGTTCTGGAATTATGGTCACCTATAAGTTTTTCTTCTTCATGCTTTCCCGCATAATTTTTAGGCTTTCCTCAGACGTTTTCATTCTTTTATTCTGATTGTTTTTCTATCATATTGTTGTTAAGTGCTGTTGAGTCAGTTCCAACTCATAGTAACCCTGTATAGGGTTTCCTAGGAGTACCTGGTGAGTTTGGACAGCTAACCTTGCAATTCAAGACCAACTTTGTGGTTGAGTACTTATCCTGTAGTGCCACACCAGGACTCCTCTATCATACTGTTGTTGTTGTTAAGTGCCATCGAGTTGGTTCTGACCCATAGCGGCACTGTATAGGGTTTCCGAGGAGCAGCTGGTGAGCTTGAACCACCAACCCTTGCAGTTCAAATGGCTTTGCAGTCTGATGTATTAACCCACAGCGCCACATCAGGACTCCATACTAGTGTTCATATATTTCTCTTTAAGCTCACTAATCTGTACTTTTATTGTTTTGAATCTCTTCCTTTACCCTTTCAATGTACTGTCCATTTCTGAAATCAGTAATAATCTTCTGGAGTTCTAATTGCAAATTTTGTATTGTTTCAAAATTTGCATTTATTTTGTCTGTTTGCTCTTGTAATGTTTTTCTGAATTATTCATAAATATTTTTCTGTGTTCTCCTTTCTTTCCTCAATCTGTCAGTCTTTTGTAGGTACCTAAATGCCATTCTTTTGATTTATTTTTCAGGTACTTACATTACCTTTTCTTTCTCATGAATGTTTTTCAATCTGCATCTTGGTCATTTCTTTGAGCCATTCTATCTTGTTTCTTTGTGTGATCTAAAATTGTTTATTATGTCTGGGACATTGTGGTGTTTTCATATTTGTGTTTAAATTGATGGTTGTATGTTCTTAGGCTCCCACCAACTGTATCCTGTAGATGTAGTTACTGAATGGAAGCTTATACACCAGTCTCCATTCGCTGTTTGTGCACCTCAGTTTAGAGTGGGTTTGGCTGGTGTTGGCTGCTGGCTGTCATTGATCAGGTAGTATAGGAGTTGGTATTAGCTGTTGCGTGACGCTGTGCTTTAGTGTGCTGGACAGCAAATTTGGTTTGAACCGCAAGATTGGCGGTTCAAGCGCACCAGCTGTTCCTTGGAAACCCTATACAGGGTTGCTTTGGGTTGGAACTGACTAGACTAGACGGCACTTCACAACAGCATTGGGTGGAACAGCAGAGGGTATAATTGTGGCTGGGATGTATGAAGATGGTTGCTCTCTCCTGTTGGGTAAGAAAGAGATTAAACACCAGTGCCACCACCCCCAGTCCCACCGCCACACACACCAGGAAGCAAAACAAAATAAGCAAGCAACCAACATTAAAAAGAGAAAATAATAAGGATTTAAAAACTATT